CCTTGAGTGCCTCGCTTGGACAACAGTCCAAACCACTGCCAATTAGATCCTATTTTCACATATTCACGGCAATCTCAAAATCGATGTGCCGCCCTCGGGAAAATACGATCATATGGAGCATGACGGTGGCCCCATGGCGGCTTAAGTGGATGCATGCTCTAAGTGGCAGGCCACTCAGGTTGCACTCATTAGGGATAGCGGCGACGAAAATAACGGCAGAATTCTGTATAGTTTATGTCCGTTCATTAATACCAGTAGCACGGGCAATCTTGTTGTTTGGCATATGACTTGACATCGTCACAATCAGCTCCTTTTGAGAGGGATGAATATACTCTCTGAGCTCAGTCATATCGTTAAGAGCATACTCACCAACTTGAGGAAGAAGACAACTCACACGGGGCAACAACCCCGGGGGAGCATCAGAGCCGACATAGTGCTGGCACCGGCCGATGCCACCCATGCACTCCTCTGTGGTTTCTCAGGGGCGACACATCGATTTCGAGATTGCTGTACTCAATTGGACGTTGCAAGCCGGCGAATTTCCCTTGTCCTTCAGCTGGTCTGCTTGGCTCATAGGCGTAGCCTGAGAGCGCATCCTCAGACGACTGACCTCGAAGATATCTTTTTAGGACGTCCCGGTGGGCGATAAGCCACCGGGTCGTTGCGTCACGCCAAACAACGAGTCGACTTGAATTACACGACAGAGAATTCCAAAGAACCGATATCCAGCTTTACACTCTAGAGCGCCAATCAGAACCCATCAAATTTCTTACTCAATTGCCCCAAGTACTTAGGATCCCCTGTCGGGGTCTCGTGCGATTACTCGTCGCGCGGGGAATAAAACACATGATTCAGAATGTGAATCAGCATTTGAGCATGCGGAAGAAAGGGGCCGACACAACAGAACGTAACTAGACAAGTCAAATGTGGTACCAGAATCGTATGACTATTATACCGGGAAGGTATTGCTTGGTCCTATCCGTCGGATCGACGATGGCAATAGACCACCCGGGCCATATAGGCATTGCATCAGTGGAATCGACTCAGAAATAAGATTTCTCAATCGCTTGAAGCTGAGTTAACACACCCAAGACGTCAAATTCCAGTGTCGTATGAACCTCATCCATATCTCAAATTGCATCCGACAACTGTATGCAAGCACTACCATTACAATGTTAGTAAATGCGCGCAACAATAGGCGCATCCAATCATGAGTCCGAAACAGATGAGACAGATTATACAACATACGCGAATTGTGCTTGTATTACAACCAAGCCAGCAGCACAGTGCCGTTCATCCCGCAAGGGTAGTACATCAATGCGCGGATAGCACATCCAGCGATACAAATATCATAATGTACCCATACCTAAGGAGCCATTCCCCAATCCACAGGAATGTTGAGAGGCCTCTCGAGATGCGGAGGATGTTGGGCACCCTGCTGTTGTTGTTGCTGCCGTTGTTGCTCATCTCTCCGCATCCTTTCCATCCATCGCCCGCGGAAATACAACAGCGCGGATATCATGATGCATAGGACGACGAGGAGCATGGTCTCCGCGAATTCGTCTGCGTCTTCCTCTTCGCGATTAGCTCTGCGAGTGGCAGCATCGAAGTAGTCCTCCGGTCCAAAGTCGCCATCACGATCTTGTTCAGCCTGTTGTCTCTCCCTCGCCCACTAGTACCATCGAACGCAGTAAGCTCATCTTCGCAATCTGGATGAACCATAATGAAACTCAGCATACCTGGACTGGGTCGTCATCTTGACTCCCTATAGCTTGGTCCCTTCGCCGCCTGTTGAACTCGTCTCGCGCTTTGCCAAAATACCAGGGACTGTCTTCCAAGTCGTCCCTTTCTGTGGCTCTATCATCTGCAGGTCTGCGATCCCTTACATGCTCGCCGCTCTCAATCTCACGCCCCGCGGACGAGGGATGAGACACTCGAACTACATCTTGTCAGGCTGCATATCGATAAACATATACGTGTGACTTACTGGTTTCACTAGAATCTCTCCCCCATAAGCTAAGACCATTGGATCCTCCCATTAGAGTGTGCCACAAACTACGTGCGTGAAGTTTAAGCAATGAAAGCGCCACGGGCATGTAAGCCTCGCCGTTCGTTTCGACTGCTAAATCATAATGGCGCTTGGCAAGATGAAAATCCTAGAGAGGGTGCGGCACATATAAGCATATACACAAGCATGAAAGCAACCAGACGACCAATATACCTGAGGCACCCCTATACCATTCTCATACATCCAGCCGAGATTCCACATTGCCAGAGCACTCATCTGAGTATCCGCTGCTGATTGATAGTATCCAGCTGCCTTTTCCCATCTGAGAGCTTCAGGCTCGTCTGGAACGCCTAGGCCGTGGTAGTAGTAATCACCCACTTTGACTAGAGCATCGATATTGCGCTGGGCAGCAGAACGAGTCCACTGAGTTAGTGCCAATCGGGCGGTATCGTTTGAGGGGGATATGGGCGCGAACCGCGTGAAGCGCAGGATACTCTTGTCTTAGGGCCAACGTCATGGTCAAATTGTGGTCAGAGCTTGTATATGAATACGCATACCTTGATCGAGGACAAACGCCAGATTATTCTGCGCAACCTCAAAACCGCGCTCGGCGGCGATCCACCATCGCAGCATGGCCATTTCGCTCCCTCGCTCAGTACCGAAGTTCCACAAATCCTCCGCTTCCTTGAGAAGGTCATCTTCCCAGACACCCCGCTCGGATACGAGTTTGTAAAATGACACCGCGATAGCACATGAACTTCCAGCGAGATTCGCTGTCGTGAGGCTCCGGGCTTGCCTACTCTGTATATCTGCGAGGTAGTAATAGGCCTCAAACGGCGAACCCTGACGGATGGCAGTCTCAAAGAATGCCATTGCAAGCTTCAAGTCACCTTGCTCTACAAACTCTATGAGCCAACGAGCAGTGCCACTTGTAGACGCATGTACGCACCGTAATGAATCTTGCCCAAGTTTACCTGTGCTTCAGCGAGCTCCTGCGAGGCTGCCATAGAGAAGTATTTTATTGCCTTCTTCAAATCCTTCCTTCCCTCAACGAGGCCATCCCGCCAAATGATACCCAGCCCATTATGACATTCTTTATCTCCATGCTCCGCCCCGCGCTCGAACCACATCTTAGCTGTCGCTGCATCTTGCCGCACGCCCTCTCCGCGCAGATACATCCGCCCAAGGTATCCGGCCGCAAGCGTTGCATATCCTGCATGCGCCACATTCTCGTCCTTCCTCGAAGGCTGGGACTGCCCCGGATGGGCTGTGTCTTGTGGCCACACCTGCCGCGCAATCTTCCAGAAATAGTCCCGTGCCCGCGCAAAGTCGCGTGGCACCGTACTCGCACCGTCGCCACCTGACGCAATTCCACCCGGCAGTGTGTATATACTACCTTGATAGAATATTTTCCCGAGACGGAAAGCAAAATCGACCTCGCCCCGGTCAGCATTGAACTTCATGCCATGGAAGGCGTAAGAGGAGGTTCGCAACACTTCCACCTAAGGACGCACCAAGTAATATTCAAGCAGATCTTCCCATGTCTCTCCTGCTGCTCGCGCAAGAGCTGTCTTGATCACAGGACGAACCGCGCTTAATCCGGTCGAAGCTACGCTCGCACCAGGGCCATACACGCCACCTACTAGATCTGACAGGCGCGGCACGGACAGAGGAAGTGTTCGGCCACCAGGAGGGCCGGCCAGGAACTGTTCCATGGCTAAGGAAGAGCACATTCAGTGCAAGTACCAACATGCTTCCAATAGTAGCGTACCTTGACTAGCAGCATCCTCATACCACCCAAGGGCATCTATACAACTCTCTGTGACTCCAATGCCTGACCAATATCGATATCCTAATGCCATCTGCGATCCTTTGTGACCGCCGTGCGCTGCAAAGGTCAGATATAGTTGGGCCTTTGCCTGATTCACCGGTACGACATCGTGATATCCCGTTGCGTAGAAGAAGCCCAAGAGGGCTTGCGAAGTTGAGTTGCCAGTGAGAGACGCGTGGGCAGAAAATGTGTTAAAACTAAGCACCGGATCTGACGGGAAGTGACTGTTGGGCGGGAACTAGAGCTGTGTTAGCCACGAAATGGGTATCTGTGGCACATGCTCACGAGTGATATTTGGCCGAGAGTGTATAATGCATCGGTGTTCCCAAGCTCTGCGGCATGCTGTAGCAAGTCAATCACCTTCACCGCTTTTCCATGGAGCTCATCGTTGTATCTTCGTCCCCTTGTCGTTTCGTCCTTGAAGAACCCGGTAAGGGCTGGTGGTAACCACGATTGATGCAACAGTTTGACTACAATCCGCATGGCACTGGCGATTGGACCATGACCCTGCATGCTCGGCAAGAAAGATGAAAGCTGGAAACCAATACCATTGGACACATGGTACGGCGAGGGCTCTTCTGACTGAGATGGCGGGAGAGCGGTGAGCGTCGCAAGAGTAGCTAGTGCTTGGCTGTACGCTCTAGAAGCTGCAACATGAGACTCAAGGTGATGTCCTCGACGAGAACAGGCTGTCACGTACCTTCAACAGTAGGTTCAATTACTCTGTACTCTCTGTTGCCCAGCGCAACTTCCGACACTGTCTCAGCCTAATCCTATGGTCAGACCGTCGTTAGTCGATGAGCGGCACGACTCACTTCGGTCTGTGCTGGATCAGCGACGCAAGGCACGATGGACAAAGCAATGAGTCCGAAGGCAATCAAGCTAGCCTTCCGGGCCTGCAACTTTCTACTCAACCTCATTATAGAAAGGTTGGCGCAGCTAGCACGCTTGAACTGTGCTGTTCAGCTGTCGATAAGGCTGTGTGGTCAGGCAATTGACTCGCCGAGGAGCGACAGTAAGAGACACGTTAGCTTAGGACACGTCTACGCGACGGTCGACCAAAAGCGGTAAACCTAGTTTAGGGTTTTTTGAGTGTTAAATAACTTCCACAAGCTAGCTTAGGCAAAGCTAATGTAGCATTCAAATACTTGGTGCTAATAGCTATTGGGGCTTCGGCCTTGTCACGAACAGCTAATGTACATGGTTTTGCGGGCTTGGGCACATGTTACATCCTCTCATCTATAATGGCACCTGTGCGACATAAAATATCAGCAGCTACGGGTTCCTCCTCTTCGAACGGCCACCATCACCAGAATTTACAGAAGAGCAAGAGACTACCACATCGCCAAAAACCTTACGAGGATGGGGCTTCCTCAGCCGCCCTACCGGGTGTACAGAAAGTAAAGGCGGCATTGAGACAGACGAGACGACTCTTGGCAAAGGTAACTCCTTGGCTATATCATCGATAGATTCAATTATGCATTTTTAGCAGGAAAACCTCGCTGCTGATGTACGCACGACAACAGAGCGTAGGCTGAAATCACTCGAAGCGGATTTAGCCCAGGCAGAACTCGCGAGGAAGGAACGCACATTGGCTGCGCGATATCATGGTGTAAAGTTTTTCGGTGGGTCTCACAGGTTTCATTTCTCAGCGCACTCACTAAGATAACGCAGAGCGCCAGAAAGTGACGAGACGAGTACAACAAGTCAAGCGTCAGTTGGCAGAATTGCAGGAAAATGTCAAAGGCAAGGATGACAAGAAGAAAAGCGATGGGAAAGAACTCGAGAAGCTCGGAAGGAAACTTGAGCAGCTCAGGGTGGATTTAAATTACACAATCGTGCGTCGAACACGTCTAGCAAAAATCCCACTGATATGAACCTTCCGCCGCCACTCACGTAGCATTATCCCAAATTGAAGAAATATATCTCTTTGTTCCCCCCTGAGCTTCGCTCACAATCGCATACGCACCCGGAACCGTATCCACACACTTACTCCCGTCCGGATCGGGACGGCAAAAAACCGGAGAATGAGACAGACGCGCAGAGAGAAGAGGTGCGGGCTTGGGTTCGAGAGCAGATGGCCGCCGGTGAGATGAGTGCTGAGCCAGAATTGGAGAGACAACCAGGAGCTCCAAAACGGACAAATCCTACGAAGGCAAGTTCGTGGAGCGAGGTTATCCATACCGCAAAAGTATCTAGCTCGAAACACAAAGCAAAACTATTACCATCCAGTGCCAAGAGCATTATAGCTGGCCCCAGTGGGAATGTTACTCAGCAGGACGCTTTCTTCGGAGATGATGAAGAAGATGGTGACGGAATGAAAGAAGACGAAGAGAGTGAGATCATGGGCGGCGGAGGAGATTCTGATTCAGACGAAGAGGAAGAGGATGTAGACGAAGACTAGTTGACAACATTGTCGTGAGCTTTGCTGTTGTAGTGAATTTAGACGGTGAACTTGCATCTTATGTCAGGCTACAGATATGTGAAGGAATCGCCCAATTGTTATATCTCATACCAACATCACAGTTGTCACACTCGAGCAAGGCTCATTGCGAGTGTGAGCTTGTGCAGAGATATTTCTATCGCCCACGAAGGGTGTGTTGACATACTATAACGCCCTTACGAACGTGTCTCGTTATAGCAGTCAACTTGCTGACGGTCCTGCGAGTATTCTGCCGAGTAGAAGTATTGCCATCCCACCCAGCAAGCACTCCGCCACAGCGACGCCTTGTCGGGACATCGTGGGTGACGGATCATCGAAAACACGTCCTTCCGATCTGTGCTTCGGGTGATAGTGGCCTGCCACAGCGTGCGCATCACGTCAGAAACGGATAGAGCTCCCATCCTCTCAGTCCGGAGCTTCATTCCGGGCGCGCATTTTCCTTCTTCAAGGCGCCATCCGAGCGCGTACGTATAAGAAGACCCTATTCTCACAGTGGCGGCTCACTTCTAACACGTTCAAAACTCCTCGTTGCCAAAAAGACACCGAAAGCAATACGCCTCGTGTCGACTGCTTGCTTTGTGCCAGACTCCTCGTGGCCTTCGTGTGTGCCGCAGATATAAGCTCTCCGCAGACGAGATATCAGCTGCAGCAATCTCCCACCATCTATTCGAGTCTGTGACTTGATCCTCTATCGATAATTCAACACTGACCAAATCTACCAGCCATCATATACCTTGTTCAAAATGGCTACTGCAGACACGCTGTACCCGATCTCCATTGCCCCTGCGCCACTCCCACCAATATTGGGCATCTATCCATCGAGTCCGATAGCACAGTTCCCTCCGCCACTGCCGGGGCGTCGTCGGCCGTTGCGCGAGCGGTGCGGCTTAGCGCACAATTTGAAGATCCAAACCAATTTCTCTCCCCAAGCCGTCCATGCTGGTCCATGGTCACCAAAAGGCCATCTCCAACCACATCGTAACAACCTTCCCCGTCGCCGGAAGGTGAAGCGCATCGTGTTTCACGACGCCGAGGTCATACCTCCGGAGCCACCAATACCGCCACAGGTGTTGCCTGTACCACCGCAGATGGAGAATAGACACCTGCAGGAAGTGGTTCCTGGCCTCTACGTCGCCTTCAAGCTCAGCGATGCCGCAGCAGACGCTCAACATATACGCGATACCGCTTACACGCATCTTCTCGATATCTGCTATCCGCCCCCAGGGTACGACAGTGGCGCAATCGAACAGGTGTACGAAAACCGTGTACATCGACTCCGTCTCGTCCTTCCCGTGGGCCCCGCCACACGCACACAGCGTGCTGGGCTCGGACTTACCAACTCTCAGCTTCGCGCTGCGCGCGACTTCCTCGCCCAGGCACTACCCTACTCCGGTAGTAGCGCAAGTTCGATAACTCACCCGCAGAGCGGGTCATTAGCCGTGCGCATTCTCTTGTCTACTCCTATGCACCGCCCGACAGACGCAATGACCGCCGCGGGCTGTTACCTGGCATTTGTGTCGGGAAAGAGTGTTGAGACTACGCTCCGTTTCATCGACGACGAAGACAACTTCCTGAGCATTTGGAAGGGTGAGGTCTCGGAGGATGAAGTCGAGCAAGCAGAGCGAGTTGCCAAGATGTGGTCATGGCTGTCGAACATGAAACGGTAGGGCATAGAACAACACCATCGCACCTGGAGTGTACCGATAATCAGAAGTGTATTGTTAGGCATAGCATATCAGCGTTTCTAGCACCGACAGTATGATGTTATATATTCGTATGCAATCATGACATGTTCACCACCAAAGCAGGGACAAAACTGAGGAAGAGAAAGGGATGCTACAGACGTGGGATTCGATTCGATACATGTCTTGCTGGATGATCAAGGAATGTGGTATCGGAATTCATGGTGTTGATACTTATGCGATTTTCAGCTGGGCGTTTTGGTGAATTATTTCCATGGACGTCAGCGGGCGGCCAGCCCGCACATAAGCCAAGTGAAGCTCCTGCCGGGTGTGCTGAAATGAGAAAGACATTCATAGAGGGAGCAGCGAGCGTGTGCCATGTAACAAAGAACGTACCTCGAAGCTGTGCTTGCTGTAGCCCGCGGTACACGAAATACTCTGCAACCTCTCTTGCACAGAAGCTGGAGCGGGTGCGGCAGGCGCAATAGGTGCGATATGCACAACGGGGGCGACAGGGACTTGAGGCGGAGGGGGTTCTGCGACAAGTGAACGTAAACGCTTCTACAATTCGGGTAACTAGACGAGCATATATACTCACGGGCGACCGGAGGCACCGCCGCAAATTTGAGTCCCTTGCTGTATGCTAAGAGGCGAAGCTCCTATGTAACAATACTGTGAGATACAGCTTATCTACAATCCACCAACGCGCACCTCGAAAGAGTAGCCCGAAAATTCTGGCTGACAGACAATGCACTGAAACCACGCTCCATGCACCTCGCCCTGTACAGTTGTGGGTTGGAAGGCTTGTACGTTCGGTAGTGCTGCAGGAGCTACGGGTGCAGCAGCGACGGGTAGTGCGACGGTGGGTAGTGCGGGCACACCATTCATGATTCTGTCATCATAGTTGGTCGCTTCATGTGCGAGTGGCTCAAAGAGCGGGGGAAGACCCAGTGCGGCACGCTCAGCTGCGCCCGTCGGTTCTAGCGGACAGGGAGCTGGAGGTTGTCCAGTCATCTGATACGCCTGGAAATAGTCCTGCAAACGTCTTTCCTATGCGACTGGTCAATGGTGATTCTAAGCAGGGTAGTGGCACATACTTCAAAGCTCTCGTCCTTAAATCCGCGCACTGCGGAAATGCTCATGTAGAATTCGCGGCGCGTATTGGCAGACATGATTGCATGTCACCCTTGTGAAATACGAGCCGCTAAGTCGTTGTAGGACACCTCACTATAGTCGTGGAGGCGCTGGTCCAATGTCCGCCACCGTACTCCACACAGTGGAATCAAGGTTTTTTGTCTGGTGAATAACGAGTAGATATAGGATGATCTCTAAGGATCACAAACAGACAATGGAATATGTTTGACAGTGTGACAACAGAATTGGAAGTAGCTAGTGGCAGAAGCAAGAGTTACTAACCAGCGTTCAAGTTCGAGTTCAGGCGCTTCAAGACTGACCGACGTGCTCGATTAGGGAGGTCTTATAGATGACGAGCGATTCGGTCAACACTAACAATATAGACATTTATGTAAAACCTACACTAGCGGCACAAGTTGAGAGTTATATGATTCAATCCTCCTGAAAGGTATAAATATTTTCGGATGAGTAAATGATTGTGTACCCGCTCATAAAGAGTACTAACTTCGCGGAAATTGAGGATATATCGGGAAAGAATGATAGGTGAAATCCTGAAAGAACGGTTGAAATATTTCCGTTACTTAGCGCATTCTACGTGAATGCATAGAATCACGAAGCTTCCAGCAAAATCCAGTGTGTCCTACACAGCTGCTGTCACTGGTATACATATTATAATACCAGCCTCGGGGTGTCAGTGCCAGTACCAACACTTGTTATTCTCTCTCATTCCTCTTTATGCCCTTGTGATCTATCCGTCCTGTCTCGTGAGATCTTCATACCGGAAGGTCAGGAATCAGCCGTTATTGCTACTCTTACAGGTCTGCCATCAACGTCGCAAAATTCCAAAAAGGCCCGTCCTTCCAAGCGCCAAAAATTAAAGAAAGCCAAAGGTGCTTTAGTGGCCTTAAAGAAATATGCGGATCAGAATACGATGCCCTTGCTACCGGTGCTTTCTAGATATATGACAACTGAGAGAGTACTACATAGCGCAATGCTGTCTGACTTAACAGACGACCCACATCCTACTGGCAAAGCCTTCGAGTCCGATCCCTACCCGCGACATATTACCATGTTCAGAAGGTTGACTGCTTGATGGACTCGTCCACAAATCCCGAACATCAGATGGAACGAGTTTCGCTGTCCCACAGACAACCCGCCTGGAACACCAGGCGGTACGGCGCGCTGATGAAGCTGTCCTTGACCGACGTTTGAGCACTGTCGACGGAATCATAATGGCGGCCGAGAGAGAGTTGGAGTAGCAGGCGGCAAAGGTGGCGAAAAGATAGGTGTCGTTCGCCTGGACAGAGCTGTTCAGCAAGTGCACTAAATTGAACAAGTGGCGCGGGGAGGCGATATTCTGGCCTTACTGGATGGTCGGTATCCTGAAATGATACGTATTGTATTGCTACACATTATAATATACTCCACAATAGGTAATGTCCCAGAAATAATGATACAACATTTAACTTGTCAAGCACTGGCCATCAAAACTGGAGGAAGCGCATCAGGACCCTTGGACGATTTCTTCTTGCTAGTTGAAGCCATCGGAGGTTTGGGCTTCCTCTGTGCATCGTCTCCCGCGAGAGGACTAAGGACATCATGAGGCGTACCCTCCAGGGTTCCGTTTGGTCCGGGGATAGGTGCGTTCGGCACCTTCCCCTTCGACTTCTTCTTCGAGTTCGCTGTAGATGACGCTGGTTTCATGATCTGCCCGAGAGGTCCAATCTTCGTATGCGAGGGGCTGGGTGCATCGTCCGGAAGAGGTATCGGTACTGCGTTCGCGTCAATAAGAGCGGGTATCGGGGCAGGATGTGCAAAAGAGGTGTCCGCGAGATATGGAGGTGGGGGTATAGGAATAGAAGGGGGTGCGGAGGGTGCAGATAATGAAGCCAGCCGCTGCTGGTAATAAGGCTTGAGCAAACCAATTTGACTTTCCACCATTCTGGAATCGAGAGGCACCAAAGGTGGCGGTGGTGGAAACGGAGGTGGTGGCTCGGAAGGTTTCGCACTGTAGGTAGGGAAAGATGAGAAGGAATATTGACGAGAAATTTTGAACATACGCGGACGAGTCTTCCGTATGGCCCTGCTTGCTCTTGCCTTTGAGCAGCTTCTTCGGAATCGTGAGACTCGAAAGTCCAAACTCAGCGGCGATACCCAACTCTCGAAGGCCAAGAAAGTCTTCGCCGAAAGACTCAGCAAAATTGCCCCTGAATATGACAAACACCATGAATATATACGCTTTCAACGAACAGATACGTGGAAACACACATGACGAATTGGCCATCTTCCTCCTCGTCATCTGCAATCTGGAAAAGAGCGTCGTCATCCCATGCCTCCTCAGCGGTCTAGAACAATAGAGCATTCAGTAAGCGTCTTGTAACCGAGGATGCATGAGGACGCACTGCTTCACGATATGCATTTGCAAGCTTCTTTTCGAGCTCAGTAAGTCTACTGCCATACCGCACGACATCATCCTTGATATAGCGCTCGAGCTCATAAATGCGGGTGGTACCACTCTCAAAAAGCGTGTGCAGTATGATTTCCTGACGTATCGTGAGTTGGGAAAAACAAGGGAGCTCATATGATAGTAATATACCTCGGGTGTCATCTTCCTGGCGTATTTGTCAGTCAAGAAACGAATAGTACGACCGACGTTCAGGAGATATTCAGACGTAACACTCGTGAGAACGTCGAGGGCGACCTTGGATGTGCCTTGAAAATAGTAAGGAAGGCTGCATGATAGAGGAGGAGAGCACAAACCTTGGAAACCTGCATGCTCAAGTACCTTCCCTCCCATCCAATGAAGACAATTGTCCGCACTCTTTTCCCCAATCTCGATCCCGGACCCCATAGGTTTCCATGGTTGTTCATCGATCACATCATCAAGCTCCTCCACTGGATCGAAAGGCATGACGGGCGCCGCACCCTCTTCGGAGTTCTGACTAAGGATGGCGAACTTTGCATGAGTGGTGCGGACCCGGCGTAAGGTGCGAATATTGTTGTTCATATGATACAACAGCGTGGTCGTCGATGGTCCCAATTTTTTCTTCTTGCGATGCCTAACAGTCGTTTCCCGTGGAGGATCATTGATGTCGATTGGGGGCGGAAGAGTAGGGATAGGCTCAGAAGACGCGCAAACTAGATTAGGGAGGCCATTCCCGATCAGATCGTCTGATTGCAATGCATCCCACCAAAGCTCGACGACATCTTTGTCCTCCAGTCGATGTGTCCTGACTCGTTTCCGAGGTCGATTGTCAATAAAGCCATTGCTGAGGCTGAATTTAATATATTGGTGATGAAGAAGAGCCATAGCAAACTCACAGCTTCCGCTTCGCGCCAGTATCCCCGTCAATTGTCTTCAGTGTGACTTCTTCCAGGACAGCGTCAGTCTCATCATCGGAAGCCACTATGAACTCGTTCAGCTGCTCTTCCAAACCAAAGAAGCCACTGTCAGCACTATTGAGCGCATTCAATCGTTGGTCCAGCGCATGATCCAATCGCGCAAAGCTCGACATTCCGGCAGGGGAACGTGTGATGGCAAGCGCATCCTCAAATTGCAGGTGTCCGCGCGCCTTTCTGCTCCCAGGAATTTTGGGGATAGCTTTCCCAGGGCTAGGAGCCTTGGAAATAGTGGGAGGAGGATATCGCGCGTGCCCATTCGCGGAAACGCCGTTGGGCCCAGGAAGGGCAGTGAATTGGGGGATGTTAGTCGGAATAGCGGGATCAACTCGCTCTTTCCAATCAGTGATATTCTTAAGGAGTTGCTCGGCCTTGACTTTAAGTCGTTTCGCGCATAATCTTAACGGATGATTCTAAGTTAATGGTGAGTTCTAGCCACAATCATATTGACTACAACCGCACCTCAGTGGCATTATAGGTGAAGCAATTAGACCAAATCAGGTCCAAGTCATCCTTGAACTCCTTCTTTGATTTATACTGCTTCTGCTTGACCTTCTTCAACATGGTTTGCAGGTCCATGGGGGTCGCAATGACTATCGCAACTCTGAATGAGGTGGTATATACACAACAACAAAATGTACGTACCAATATAGTAGTCGGGTACCTCAGTCCTAGATACCGGCTTGAGGAAGGCCTCCGAGTCCCGATTGTCCTGTAAGACTAGGTAAGGCGCGCCTGGACGACCACAGAGTATGGAATCACAGCGTACCAATGTCACCGTCCGGAGGTCGAGCAGCAGTCCTTCCAATGAGTCATAGAACGCGTCCGAAAGTTTGGATACATCATGCGACTGACGCTACGGTATGCATGGTGATTGAAGATTAGCATAAGGAGAAGAGAAGAGGAGGATCATGGATAGCCACTCACGCGGCTGTCCTTTACGGCGCTTAGTAATAATTTGAGATCGGTGGGGTGTTGGGCAGACCTGACTTGATTTTCAGTGAGGGTTCTGAGGAGATTCTGGTGCGAAGGTTATGTTTAAGTTATAAAATTGGATGGATGGCAGGCAGGAGGATCTGTACTCACGTTCATCCTCAATTCATGCGCATCGCGGGGAGGTGGCGGTAGCGAAACAAGGTGCCTTTTCGAGCTCCGTTTGGAATTCTTCGCTAAATGCCGAGCGCTGACCAATTGTGGAGGCATTTGGATAAGCATCCATTTATACAACAAATCAATGCGCATTGTCAGCTCGAGCTGTCTTCGAATCTGACCCTCTATTCATGTTTTTATTACCTGTCTTGCAGAACGTGTTTGAACATGTCTCGAAAGCCCCAGCCTCAGGCTGAAAATTTGCTGGGCTACTGACCCTAACCCAAGACTAAACGCGATTACGTAACACGCGTCGCGGCGGGAGTCAGCCAACCGCGGACGCGTCCCAACTTGCCTCCGTTCCAATTCGTCCAGCGCCCTGTTGTCTGGCTTCCGACTCTCCTGCTGTCCAATGCTAGGTTCTAACTGATTTTTGACTCACTCTTTGCTCTGTATCTACCCTCATTCATCCTATTCCTATCAACAGCCGACAGAATCAACACGCTGCACGCGACGACCATGTCCGGTCTCAAGAACTCGCCCTTTGGCAAACGCCTTCGTGCCTCACACCAGGACGCAGAAGATGACAGCTCACGAAAACATCGACCACGCCCGAATCAGATATTTGCGTTGACTCTGGGGTCGACACCATCCTTGGATTCGCGTCCAACTACAAGCGATAGTGGCGAGCCAGAGTCGCCAGTCGAGTCCCGCACACCCAGAGATTATGGCGACCGCTTTGTCCCTTCAAGAGACGCGGGAGACATGCGGACATCGTACCATCTTATGGATGACTCCACCCCGTCAACACCCTCGAAGAACAGGATCATCCCCACCGAATCCGACGCGTTGAAAGAACAAGCAAATGCCATTTTTACATCTATCCTGCATACCGAGGTCACTCCGCCGTCTCCACAGAGATCTGCATCTCCCACGCGACCAGCAACTAACACGCCGCTACCATCGACCCCAACACGACGTCGACTTTTTAATTATAATTCACCATCGCGTTCAAATCCCGCGACACCTACGCGTCGACTGGATGCTCCCACAGATGAGGCATATTCTATGAGTCCGGTACGTGCAGAAAGCAGACAGCTTTTGGAAAGTCCGCGACGGCAGCTTCGGAATGTCTGCAAGACGCCATATCGAGTTTTAGATGCGCCGGAGCTCGCGGATGACTTCTATCTCAATCTAGTGGATTGGTCGAGCACAAACGTTCTTGGAGTTGGGCTGGGCTCCTGCGTGTATCTCTGGACAGCACATACGGCACAAGTTTCGAAGCTTTGCGACCTTTCTAGCTCCAATGATACGATCAGTTCAGTATCGTGGGTTCAGAAGGTGGGTCTTGTATGATGTCTCCCAGTGTGCTGTAGATCTGCAATACGAACGAACGAGTCCATAGTGGCTAGTGAACGGCTTAGTTGACGGTTGCTGGCTGCATTGCTACTGCTTTCAAGTTCGCGGCATATGTCATTCAGCATCTGCGACTATGGTTGTTCGATGTGGTTTGTATTGCAAATTTGCTGCCTTCAAACTATACGACCCAGTTTCCTTACATGTTTGCTGAACACTAAATAGGGTACCACACTGGCTGTGGGCACACTTGCTGGCCGTCTACGAATCTACGACGCCAACACGCTCCAGCTGCAGCGGACGTACCAGCAGGCACACACACAACGAATAGGTGCTCTGTCGTGGAACTCGCACATCCTTAGCTCAGGCTCGCGCGACCGGCTGATAAATCACCGGGATGTACGAGAACCGGGTTTTAAACCATTCAAACGATTTCAGGGCCACAGACAAGAAGTATGCGGGTTACGATGGAATGGCGATAGTGGGCCACAGGCGGCATTGTTGGCCAGTGGGGGCAACGACAATAAGGTGTGCATATGGGATCTCCGGGGCTCAAAGCGCCCTCAGCCGAATAGTACAGGTGGAAGAAGTGGCAGCGCCGGCACAAGTGCAAGTAGTGCAGGCGAGGACCCCGGTGAGATACCTCTCTGGAAATTTCACGAGCACACAGCGGCTGTGAAGGCGCTTGCATGGGACCCACATGTCGCGGGAATTTTAGCGACCGGTGGGGGGACAGCGGACAAGCATATTCGGTTTTGGAACACGTTCAATGGGAGTATGCTCAACGAACTGGATACTGGCAGCCAGGTACGTAGACAACCAGCTCCTCTGGATAGCTACTCAGTCGCATCACTACGAAACCAGGTCTGCAATCTGACGTGGTCACTCACCTCGCACGAGCTTGTGTCCAGTCATGGCTTCTCCTCTACCACAGCACAAAACCAAATATGTATCTGGAAATATCCATCACTGGATATGGTAGCGTCGCTGACGGGTCACACGCATCGGGTTCTATATCTCGCTATGAGTCCCGAGGGCGAGACCATTGTTACCGGTGCTGGCGATGAGACACTGAGATTCTGGAATGCGTTCCCCAAGAAGGAGAACCACGAAGCGAAACGAGAGAGCCGACTAGATTATGGCCGGCTCATAAGATGACCTCTGCTTCTCCTTTCTCTACCTGCCCCGTTATCCTTATTTGTCGCATACCCCCACGCTCTCTCCGATCATCACCCCATCGTCGTCTCGCTTCCTTGTCGCACAGCAGTTGCATTGAATGGACTCGCTATGCTACGTCTCCACTAGTCGCGCATCTACCCCGTCCTTTACGGTACGAGCTTTTCCCTGGCTCTTATATCCTACGCTACCATCTACCTATCCATCCACGGACCGTCTTGTGCATTCTGTGCATTCATACATATACTACCGGCTCTTTCCACCCGTCCATCACACAATTTCCACTAGCAGCTCTGTTTGTCACTCTGCTCGTCATGTATTGGAACTATCCATGTTGCGGCCTCCTTTTCGATGACCTTCGTTTTTCTTGCTATGTTTGCCTCTTGACCTTCGCTTGTGTTGTTTCATTATAGATCTTCTTGCAAGGGTTATCGTGATATTGCTGCATGCCATCCCATATAGGTCTTGTCATATGTACACATCCAATTTTTTTCGATCCTCAATGATGATCCAGGCATATGCATGTGCATAGTACCTCTTAGCCAAGCGTTATCCGAAGTCCATGGGCTGAGGCTTAGTACACGGCCCTTCGTGTGTGACCCGCTCATTAGCTAATCTGAGCCTGACTGCGGGAGCTATAGAATGCCTGGCGACAGAACATACGTTAGCACTACGCCACGGCTTAGTCCATGCCACAGACCTGGCGGTCAGACTCCGAGTCAATAGAAATATTCAATGTTAGGCAAGCATCTCCTGAGTCTATCTGGCCCTAAGCCGATCGCATCAGCTAGCCAACACTGGGTCTCAACCGTCATGATAGCCACGCGTGAAATCTGACTTTGGCAGATAGGCAGCCAGGAGGGCATCGGGACTTGTACCAGGTATGCATGCGAAGTACAAATTTTGTCCGTGAGTAATTAGGTCTTTCCAATACCACCATCATCCTTCCGTTTCGTTACGCGGACAATCTCATCTTCATTGCCCGGAGCATAAAACAGACAAGGGGACAGTGGCCAGTTGGAAGTTGCACCAATTGTAATCTGGCGATGACATTCGGAAAATACAGTAAGGTAGCTCATGATCAACAAAAACACCACCTGCAACATGATCTGTGATCCTCTGCTCAGTAGTCTGCACCATGTCAGACTCATCCTCTGGGCCCTCATGGATATCCAGCTGCCCATAATCATGGTGGTCGTTCTCGTTAGCACGCTGATGAAGGACTGTGTCAACATGAGATTGCACAAATACTTGTATCTCATGCACTGTGTAATCACTCTCCACTCAGAGTGCTTGCATACGATAGAGAGCTGCTCGTCCACAAGAATCCTGGGCTGCAATCGGGGCCGCCCTCAGCAAGTTGACATCGAGGAACCTCACGTACCGAGATGTCCGAGCACTGAAGCTTGATGGAGCGCTATACACGTGGCCTCGAAGCTCGCGCGCAAGCGAATACACTTTTTCCATATGTGCGGCCTTGTACGGGATTTAAATTCTGCAATAGCAAATTTATCTGCCTCCGAACCGCGATCACAAAGCCAGCATATGGTTGGAGCTGAGGAGGCTGGCCCGGCCGTCCGCACGCTGTGAGCGCTGGTTACGGGGAGAAAATATGTGCGTAGAAGGGTTGTGATTCATGGGGCCTCGTGCACGACGGCCGTCATTCGACTGTGTGCGGGCGGTGTCCGTCAGACTCTCGCAGAACAGAACGTATGTAGAACTGCTGAATGCTTCGATTTAACACCGAACACAAGACACAGCATATAGCCTAGAGAAACGCAAGTCAGTTGGCTCACCGACTGTGTGCTGCCAGAGGTGACAGGAAGAGATAGGTCAGACACCTTGGCTGATCATTGAAAATGTTCATACACAACAAACAACTGAAGCATCACTATTTTCTTTTTGAAAAATTGAAGGAGCTCACTATGGGCTTCTAGAAACAATCCCACTCTATGTTTTGTGAAGGCCAAATATGTCACGGGTGCAATGGAATTTGTGTCAGAGATAGAGTGTCAGTGTCGCCAACCTATAATCGACAGCATAATATTCCGGCAGACACGATCTCCAGCGGGGGTTCCTGTGCACAGCGAAGGTTATGCGCAGGAAGAACGAAGTCTTCAAATAGCACATGCACCTGTTGTCGACACCGACACGCGCCCTGCTAACAAGCAAACGAGGACAGCCTTTCAAATCGACGTATGTATTTGATTTCGAGTGCTGATATCTACTACCTTCCGTGTGAAGACAAAAGTCAGCTGCCTTACTCACTGCGACATAGCAATGCAAGTCAAAGAAAAATAAGGGTGAGCTGGGCAGCAAGTTTAAGGTGTATGGGTTGATAGTGGATCAACTATAATGGTCAGACTAGTAAGAACACCATGGCGCTGCATAAACTCACCTGCATGTTGCGACCAACTTCAGAACATGCCTGAGTTACATAAGTGTAATAACATAAGCACACTCCGGAGTACAAGATGTGATCTAAATATAGACCAACTACTGCGATCTCATGACAGTCTAGGTCGTGTTGGTGTATCGACAGCATGAGCCCCGTGAGCGGTGCGGAGATTACGGCGCCTGCAAGAGCCCCTAGTGGGTACTGGCTTTACCAAGTGGAGTATAACACCACGATGTTGAAATAACCGAAAACCTCGAGCAAGCCAAAAGATGCCATGCCAGATATCATCACTGCAGAATAGGCTGATGGCAGGAGAATCCCCCAATTTTGAATTCAATGCAGTATCATACAGGATGCGCCCATCTAGCAGCGAACGTAGCCTCCTCGCCAAATGTCACGGGGACTGAGAACGACGCACCAGCACTATTAATGAAACACGAGTCCATAGCACGGCCTCATGACATCACCACGAATGCAATACACGCGAGAAGCCACTGGCAACAGCAAGACGGCCTACTCGGATCACCCGCACCTCTCTCTCACTGTGCTGGCAGTTCGGATCCTTCACGCGACGAAGAACTGTATGTCGGGAATACACCGGAAACGCCGCCACACCCAGCACTCGCCTCCACGCCAGAGCCCAAGTTTAGAATGGAAGCGGTTGCGAGATACGCCACTGATAGAAGAAGCGGGCCTGCCACCGCGTTCCAAAGCAGATGAGCGGTGAGCGGCGGATGGGACGTTCTCCAGGTACACCCTCGCCAAATTGATACAGCGGAGAGGTGGGGGGATGCCGGGGAACGTCGTGTCTGTGCTACTGCATACACCGGTGGAATATGGGTCAATACTCCGAGCATAAATGTATAAGAGTGGCAGCGTACCCTGTGCATGGCCGTTGAAAGGGACTGGATGATACGTTCCTGCGTCACCACAACGTGTCGTCAGTTACAGATATGTCATGTCACTGGAGGCTCCCCTCGACGGTACCGGAGTGGCACGCAAAATGAATGGTCCGGGACATAAACGGTTCAACATCGTCCTCGAGTGGAGTGAGGGTGAGGTAAGGTCAGACTGCGTGCGCAGCCATAATTCGGGAGTGCGATGAGGAGAAAGTCCTGTACCAACAGTAGTCACGACGGGGGTATTTTAGCGCATCGAACGGGTCGAAACGGACAGAGCATATAGGCGAGGACGTGGTTGCAGAAGAGGTGAGGGTTCAGATCAGAAGCAGGAGGTGTCCCCGGCAGGCACCGTGCGCAAAGTCGAATCCGAGCACAGCGGCACATGCCTGATTAGGCATGTAGATGGCTAGTCGCTTTCCATGTTTTCCGAGTCGATGGCGGCTCTTTAACTTTGCTATCTTTCTTGACTGCCTCAATTGTTTGCAAACGTTCCTTGCAGGACAGACCACTGATTGCGTTCAATTTTCGAGCTAGCCACAAAGGCCATAGCTTGGACGCTCGGCACATATATGGACTAATTGCTGCCCGTACTTTTCGCCCGCTGTTGGTTCTGCGTTGTCCCAGGAGCCACTCCACGGTAGCCGGTACAGTGTGGTCTCCTCTGATTTCATGGGATAGCGTCGTATTCGGTGAGTGCGTTGCTGATATTCGTTCTTTGATACTCGATATTCCCGACGGCTGTCCGCCGCGTTGTTGATTTTGCATTAAGAAACTGACCGTAACGTTACCGTTGCCGCATCCTGTGCCTGGTTGGCGTGGCCGCAACTTTCTATCGATTTGCCTTAAGTGCTCCTTATGTTCAGGTTTCCATGCACACATTGTTTGCTTGGACGGCTCCGCCCTCGATATTCCATCATTGTTCACATCCGAGTCGAGCTACCAATCTCATCTCTCGCTCGTGGCCGTCAGGTATAGCATTTCCCGGCACCACGGTACGCTTGACTATTCGCAGACGCCCTTCCACGCCTACGTATAGATAAAAGCTCCTCTTCGACCGTTCCTAACGCAGCCGCAGTGCTTTTCAAGTCAGGCAATCCGCCCATTCTGGCGATAGCCGCTCTACTTCGCGATCACCCCCTTTTCTGTCTTGTGTATAATTCATCTGCATTCACCAGCTGAATTTCCTATTCCTTCCCACTCGTCAAGCAGCATGAAAACGTCGTCTCGTGATGCGTTGCCCACACTGGAGATTTCCAGGTCGGAACTTCCTCAAACCTTGTTTGAAGAACTGCGCTCAGCAGTCAGGGGCTCGGTGTTTCGTCCTAGCGACTCTGAGTACGTTTTAGCCTCGTATCATGACGAACCGCTCTGACTGTATGCTACCGCTTTGCATTGTATTCGTATTATTCAGGTTCGCTGAACGCTCTAGGACATTCAACGGAAAGCTCGTCTGTCTTTCCAAGGCTCTCGTCTCGCCCCTCGACGCACAGGACGTCAGTGCAGCCGTCCGCTTTTGTTCCAAGCACAGTCTATCACCATCAGTCAAGGCCGGGGGGTATGCCACTGCCGGGTGGTCGATTGCTGGCGATGTCATTATAGATCTGGGCATGCTGCGAGAATGCGAAATCGAGCCTCCACTGCCAGAGGAGGAAGCACCCGATGGCAAAGACTGGGTGAGGATGCGGGACATGCTCGCGCTCGGAAGCAAGGGCAAGGGCAGAGCAGAGAGGAGTGGCGCTGCAGGGTCGGTCAGAGTGCAAGCGTCCTCGGCCCTACCTGCTAGCATGTCGATGTCCGAGCAGCAGCCGTATATCCCCTCTGGGACCAAGCGACGTCGCGACAGCAGTGAAGAGCCCGTAGAGGATGCGCTGCCTGAGCTAAAGGCTTCGCAGGAGAAACGCAACTTGCTGCGGTCCTACGATGGCGCATCCGAGAGCGTTGCCAGTTTTCTTCGTGGACCAGCTCTTCCGCCCGAGAAGGGCGAGGAACCGCGGAAGCCTCCTGCGAACCGACGCAGGTACCACTCCCCAGACCCCTCTGTATCCGAGTCTTCTGCCATGTTTGAACAGCCTCACCCGGCAGAAGAGAGGAATCTACAGCCGCCCAGGATGGAGGCCAGGACGGATTCTAGCGAAAGTTCGACGTTGGGTTCGGGCTCGGGATCCGGTTCCGGCATTCAGTCGTCCATTTCCCAGCAGAGCACCACCGCGACGACGCCCGAGGCCATCCCGGAGGTCGCAGAGACAGCGGACCCGGCAGCAGCGTCGAAGCCTGCGCCACAGCCGCGGGAGGAGGACCCGTTCGCGTACTTGTCGTCCGATCGTGCGCCCGAGCCGCGTGCGCCTATGTTCAGTGGGGCGAACCCGTTCAGATCGTCGACGTCGCTTGGGCCGATTCCTCCTGCGGCGCTGGCGGCCATGGACGGTGCGGGGGCGATGTTTGCGGCCATGGGGCGCGGGATGGGGATGAGCAGCTGGACGGCGCCGCCATCCGCGTCGATCGGAGCGCAGGGCGTGTGGGGAGCCGGTGTAGGGCCGACCAGCAGCATGTATACGGGTCATTTCATGGATCCAATGTCCGTGCCAGGGCTGCCCTTCCCTGCTGGGCTGAGCATGGGCGCGGGTATGGGGCCGTTCGCAGCGTCGCTGGGACATCTTCCGGTGCCGTCGCAGATGGCTCCCGCACAGCCGGTACACAAGCACGCGTATGTGACGCTGGGGGCGGGGATGCGGCAGAAGGAGGTGGACATGTATACTGCGGAGCACCCGTTGGAGGGGTTCAGTGGAGTGACAGGAGGGAGGGAGCCCGGGCTGGTGCCTTATCACATCCCCTCGTGAGTGTTTTCTTTGACTGGCTGTCCAGATCTGATGCAGCCTGCCAGGTCTGCGCACCCCGTGGGCTCGTCCATTCTCCTTCTGGCGGGGTTCGGCTTCATCAGCCGCATGCGCGGGCTGAGCATTGACAATCTCGTCGAGGTCGAGATGGTGTTGGCAGACGGTCGGATCGTGATTGTGAACGAGGGCGAAGATCCTGGTCAGTGCTCTACTATCCGGCCATCGCCTGGTCCTAACTGTCCAACAGATCTCTGGTGGGCTGTCCGCGGCGCAGGCCCTGCGTTCGGCATAGCGACGCGATACAAAGTGCGCGCATTCCCAATCCCGGTCGTATTTGCCGGCAATCTTATCTAGTACGTCTTTGCCCTCTTTCGTGGCAATGGGACTGACTTTTCTGTTCTCAGCCGCTTCCACCGTGCGACCGCACCTTCCCTCATCAAGCACTTCCGGGACTGCGTCAAAAGTGCCCCACGTGAGCTCTATGCCAACGTGCTGCTCACCGCAGGCCCTGCGGACAAGGACTCGCTCGTTGTCATCCAGATGTGCTATATCGGCCCCAAGGAAAAGGGTGTGGAGTATCTGAATGCAATCTCGAGCTGGGACGGCGAGCGGTGTCTGTTGAATGAAGTCAGCGAAAAGAGCTATCTCACACAGCAGGATAGCGTCGCCCAGATCCTCCGCGGCAAGGGTGAGTAGTACCCACGTGCGCCCGCTTGGATGGCTGGACGCTGAGTCGCGAGCGGTTCGTCTCTAGCCGGACGACAGTGGTTCATCCGCTCGTCGCTGATTCACTCGCTCCCGGATGAGGTGGTGAACAAGACCGTGATCCAGTTCGCGAGCACGCCCATAGGCTGCAGTGAGTCCTCCTTTGCCCGCAATCGCCGCACACGGTTTCCGCTCAGTCGACGATCGTCTTTTTGCCAGCGTGGATCTTCGAGCTGTCAGGGGGCGCCATCGCCGATTTTGAAGATACCTGCCTACCAAAGGAGCAGCGCGAAGCGATCTGGACCGTTGCTGCCCTGCACCAATGGGAGATGGGCATCGATGATCCGCGCTGCATCACGTCCGCCGAAGAGGTGCGCTGTCTGCTTTTATCTCTACTCCGACTCCGCCCATGCGTCCTGATTTATTCCGCTTGCAGTGGATCGACGGCACGATTCGCACAGTGGCACTTGGCGGACCGTACCCCTCCGTGAGTCGACTCCACTCTGCTACCGGCCGACGCATCGCTGACATTGAACGCTGAACCCTGCAGTTCTTGGGCCGCCACGAGCCGCCCTGGCGCACAAAGGCGTCTTACGGGAAGAACTGGGACCGTTTGGCGGAGCTGAAACGCAAGTTCGACCCGGACTGTCTGTTCAAAAATAATCTCTGGCCGGTGAGCAAAACCGGAGAGCCAATCGAATTTATGGAGAACGAGCCGCCCTCGCCGTGAGCCGTCCATCCATCTGCTGCTGCGCGTGCGCATGGCGCCGGTAATCCTGCTCGATATACCATTGTGTGCAGACGACAGACACTATGTATCATATGTAATATAGCGAGTATGATGGTACAACAAATATAGCATGCCGCTAGTGGATATATCTGTATACAAGAAATGAACAGCGAGAACCTCTACAGGTGAGAGCAGCGAGACATGGTATGCAAACAGGCAGAACTCATCTGGACATTGGCAACGCACTTCCACGTGAAAAGAAACAGAAAAATGGAGAATGAAAAAATCCCACAATGTACAGCGTCTGCAGGCGGCCGTCTAACCACTAGTCCGTCGGAACGAGGAAGCTCGCGAGCGCCCACCCGATATCGTCCACCTTGTTTCTGACGAGCAGCAGACAGTCCTCACCATCGTCAACGTACAGCGGGAGGTCCTTGTGCGTCGACGGGTGGCCCGCTTCCTGCAGCACGCTGTAGTAGTCGCCGACGCACAGCGTGAAGAACGGCAGGTTGCGATAGGACACGCCCGGCGGGGGCTCGCACATGTGCACCACCTCGCACTCGTACAGCGCGGGTATCCGCGACCGCGCTGAGCTTGGCCGCCGGCTGGAGTATCTATTGGACGAGTTGGTGTGAGGCTGGTCGCGGTGTTGGTGGTGGTGATGGTGGTGTTGGTGGTGGTGCGGCGCGAACATCGCCTTGTTCGGTGACGGCGACGGTGACGGCCCTAGCGGCGCGGGAGACCGACGCGACGTGGACGATGCGGAGCCCGGGCGGAAGCTCTCTGTCAGCCGCCGTTTGAAAGACGGCTTCCGCGAGGGGCGGCCGCGGTCAGGATTGGCGAACGGAGGAGAGGGGTGTATCTCGGACAGACTTTCAATCTCGGCATCGGTGGGGACCTGCATCCGTGTGATCTCGACGTCGTCGAGCATGCGGCCGTGCGACTGGGACTTTTTCAGAGGCAGGGGGGCGGGTATCGGCATGCTCTTCGTCCGCGTATATCTGGGCTTCTGGGCGGAGGGCGTGAGCGTCGCCAATGTGCCATACGCATAGGCGATCTCGTCCGAGTCAAAGCCGTTCACGCAGTAGCTCCCGACATGACCCAAGGACTTGGTCGATTTCGCTGATCTGGCCGATTTCTTTGATCGAAGGCTCTCGTCCGAAAGCTTCCGCTCGACCCCCCGCCGATTCCCGATCTCCATCGACCGCACGCTGCGCGCCTTTGTGCTGACCGGGGTTTGAAGCGACAGCGTGGAGGGCGAACTCAGCGGGTCCCACGAGCTTGCGATAGACGAGACCACAACCGTTGAGCTCGTCTCGCTGAAGTCGTCGTCGAAAATGTTGATGGTCGCCTTCGACTTCTGGCGCACCAGCTTCGGGGATTCGCTCCTTCTCCGGATGATGTTCATACCAAGAAGACGGGCATCTGTCTCTTCGAATCGGCTCCACCACACTCTGACCGTCTCAGGCGCGCCGGCATTCATCTCGTCGCCGACCTTGAGGGCATTCCAGAGAACGAGCCATCGGTCCCTCACGCGCCCAAAGAAATCGGCTTGGAACGTCGAGAACCTCAAAACACAAAGCGTGATCCCCTTCTTCATCAGCGCGATGTACTGTGGGAGTTCCGCTGCAAGCTGGCCGCGAAGCGCAACGTAAGACTGGGACGCCTCGAGAAGCTGAGGCGGGGGGCGTGATTTGGCAATGTTGAGATTGAGCAAGCCAAGATGTAGCGGCTCCAATGTCTGCATAGCCTCGAGCAAGCGGAGAGGTGCCAGTGTCGAATCCACCAATTTCGTCAGCTCAGTCAATAGCTTGTTTTTGATGCTGGCCTCGAGCTCTCGGCAGAACTCTGGCAAATCATCTCTGACGACCTGCATATACGCGTCGAATGCCTCCGAGTCGCCTGACGTCGTGACGCCTATGACCTGTCCGAAGCTCATTGACCATGCTTTCAGACTTTGGAGGAAATCCTGCATAGCCTGAGACCAGTTAATGGCCTCCTTTGCCAACGCGCGAGCAAGCGCTTCGCAGCGCTTCACCTCCTCGCCCAGTCGCAGAACTTCTTCGGCTTCTTGGTCCGCCTCCACGCCTTCCTTGGCCTTGAAAGGCTTCGAGCTGAAACCCTTCATCCGACCCAGGCTCACGGAGGCAGAAACACCGATATTCAGACCCTTTTTCTTGGGCTTCGGCTTGGGGTCGCTATGCCTCTTGCTCGGCAGGCTCGACGGCGGGCCACTCAGCACTTCCTTCACGACTTCCCGCCGACGCCGTCCTTCATTCACACCCCGGGCGACTTCCTCCATTTTTTCCCGCGCAAGCTTCAAATTCGGCTTGTCCAAGTGGCCATCTGGCGTCTCATCGATGATCGCCGCTAGCAGCAGTGGGTACTTGAGCAACCGCTGCACAGGTTTGATCAGCAGCGACGGGAGGTCCCATGCATGCGTCAGGCTGGACGCAAGCGCCCGCGACTGCGCCAGGTAGGCGGTCAATGCCGGCGTCTGCGGGAGGTGGTTCAGATGCTCCAGCGCAGTTGGGTGCTTCGTGATGTATGAAAGGTACAATGGTTCAAGAGTGGGAATCTGCAGCGTAGGGTTAGTCGCGCATACAAAGGAAAGTGGTGCGTGCCACTAACCGTTTCGAGAAACAACGCTCCGACTCGATCCTCGCCTGACCCACCCTCTAACACGGATCCCAGCGCTTCTTCGATTTGCTCTGTGAAGGTATCTGAGAAGGAGGCCAGGTCCGCAACGTTGTTGAATATGATCCGGGTATCTTCTCTCGTCATGGGAGGGCTGGTGGTCGAGATAGAAGAGGATGTGCTTGCGGTGTCCGATGAGGTGGACTGTGTTCGCGAGGACGGCTCTGAGGGCGGAGGGGTTGCAGGCGCCGTCTGAAATGGGGCTGGTTGGCCTATGCACAGGGCATGAACGTCAGCATTCCGATGAGGCCGACTCCTCGCTCACCTAACGCCAGTGGGATATGAATATCCCGGATGAGTGCCAAATCTGATGCATACGTCCGCTCCGTAGACAGAAGCTCTTGCAGTGCGTGGGTGCGCTTCGAGACAACCGACGGCTGTTGCAAGAGCGAAGACGGTTCCGAAACAGATGTGGTGACAGATGCAGACTGAGACGCAGACTCTTCCTGATCACGATCATCGTCTGAACCAGAAGGAGCAGTTGATGGATCCGGGGTTATGGGGAGGGGCTTGTCTGGTGTCTGAGGACGACCAGAGCGGCCAGACTTGATGCTCGGGGGCTGCGGGTTAAGGAGACCGGAAAAGGAGCCAAAACTGCGAGAGTGCGACAAAGGCATAGTCTCAGCGGTCGGCGTGAGGTCGGACTTCTCGAGCTTGAGCAACGAAGCGGATGCGCGACGTGCAGGTGCAGGTACTGTCGGACGCAGAGGAGAACGGGGTGGTCTAGGAGGAGAGGACGGGTTGGGAGAGGAAGGTGGTGTAGACCAAGACGCACTTTCACTTGTTTCCGTTGTGCTCGTGGAGAGCCGGGAACTTGAAGGTGGACTGGCTAAGTCCACGCGGCAGGAATGAGGCTCACTGAAGGATACATTCTCGAAAGGAGACTCTTGCCCAGAAGAAGTCATCTCCGTATGGAATTGGCCCCGCTGGCCCGTCACGGAAGCGGTATACGGCGCCAGAAATTCTTCGGTGTATGCCTTGTGCTCGTTCGGATAGCTACGAACTCGATAGGATGTGAGAGAGGAAGAAGTCAAGAAATTGAGTGGGCACATGCTTACTGTGTCCGGCTTCAAATTAGCAAATTACACGCGAACGACATGTGTCGTGTCCTAAGCATATGCGAGAGCGATGATATCAAGGGAAGCGATGAAACGGGGAGGGAGCGTGTTCGCTGACACCGTTGTGGTAAGGAACAGAGGCGCATTCAAGTTTAGAAGGAACTAAGATTACATAGTGGGCGAGTATGCAATATCAGTATCTTGGTGTAATGCACCTTTGAAATCTGGGACGTTATCTTCAGCGTCGCGCTATTTGGAGCTGCTAAATTAAACTCGGAAATTACATTCGACATACAAATAATGCATCTTTTCCAAATCCATTACAAACACAGCTTTTTATGATTAGTATACTGTGCAGTATACCTTAACCCTAATTACCGATTCCGACCGTCTTGGCGCACGCGAGCGCTCGAACTGCGACTTTGGGAAAATGCGATGCTCTCCCCTCTTCAGTCTGAGTTTCCAACCAGTTTCACCTCTTTCCCGACGCCCACTGTCGTTAGCTGGACTATCACGTCCGCATATGCGCGACTTACAGCTCGAAGTTCTTTATTTCATACTCTAGAACGCTCATAAGGCGGTGCAGCTCCTAGACCTCGACCACCATACATTCGCGTAACTGCTGTATTCCCCTGTGCTTTCTACGACAGTCACAACATTTCCACATCATTAATTCGAGCGAGAGGCCTCCGGTATGAAACGCTCACAGTCACAGGAGATTTTTTACGTGCCCACCGCCACGACCAGCGCATCGGCTCTCTCGCGACATGCAGTCAGCGCCCGAGCACCCGTAACTCGCCCCTCCTCTCCTCCGGCATCTTCGTACTTTTCTCCCTTTTCTGGTGATCATGACGAGGTCCCCAAGCCAACCACTCCTGGAGCCTCATCGCATTTTGCGTACAGCACAACTCTGGTGCGTCACCCTCACCGCGAAGGAACATTAGGGCTCCCGCTGCCCGGAAATTCGGCCGTTCTTCCGAAATTGGAGGAGTTACGTGCTGTTGCAGAGTCTGAGGGGGCAACAGGTCTATGGCAGCGAACTGTAGGCGCGGTCAAGTCGTTTTTTGGGCAAAAAGTCAGCAGTTATGATCGGCTCCCGACAACCCAACCGAAGGAAGACCGCAAGGATACCCCATCTGCCGTGTTCGCCCACCATACCATTGAGGTGAGCATCAGCGCTGGCCTTCATATCATTGCGCCTATATAGACCATCCATAGGACACGCTCGCCCACTTTGGCGTTTCTCCTACCACCGGCTTGCCATCGGCAAGTATTTCAGGGCTGCTCCAGACTCATGGGTACAACGAGTTTTCGGTGGACGTTCCGGAGCCATTACTCGTAAAGTTCGCGAAGACGATCTATGAGAACCCGCTCATTCTATTGCTTTGCGGGAGTGCGACCGTCAGCGCGGTGATGGGCAACGTGGACGACGCTGTCAGCATCACCGTAGCCGTGCTCATCGTTCTCACTGGTGCGTCCATTTACTGGCATGTACTGTTCCTGCCGGATGACACGCTTCACGCCGTGCAGTCGGGTTTGTGCAGGAGCGGCGGTCCGAGCAGAGTCTTGAAGCGCTGAACAAGCTGGTGCCTCACCATTGTCATCTCATCCGGTACGAATTCTTCATAAGCGTGACATCGTGCCCAGACGCGTTCAAGTCCCACAGGCGCGTCTTGGCACGATACCGCGTACGCGCTCTTCCCAACGCTCATCACGTCGCAGAGACGGTCAGCCGTTACATGTGCTCGCAAACGAGCTCGTACCTGGGGATATCGTAACGTTTACGACAGGGGACCGGATTCCAGCCGACATCCGGCTAGTAGCTGCCCTCGACCTGGAAATCGACGAGAGCAGCTTGACAGGCGAGACGACGGCACGTCGGAAGGACATTGAGCCGTGCAAGCCGGTACTCGGCCCGCCCGGCAGTGCGTTTGTGAACGGCCATGCAAATGGATATGCCATGCACGGAGAGCCTGAACCTGTCGCATTGGCGGAGCGATCGTGCATTGCATATATGGGCACGCTCGTCCGGAATGGTGAGCATCTGGTTTTATTGGTGGGGAAGACGTCGGTCTAAGGTTCCGAAGGCAGAGGCTCGGGCATAGTCATCGCCACCGGCACCCAGACCGAATTCGGTGTCATTTTCTCCATGATGCAAGAGGTGGAAGAAAAGCGTACTCCTCTGCAGCTGAGCATGGACGAGCTAGCCAAAAAGTTGTCTTTGATCTCATTCGGCGTTATCGGTGTGATTTGCATTATCGGTGTAATGCAGCAGCGATCATGGCTGGACATGTTTACCATCGGAGGTGCGTGCACAGCCGCCTCTGTGCGGCGGCAGGGTGCTGATCGCTAACTTTGTCGAAGAACAGTATCCCTCGCGGTTGCGGCGATTCCAGAGGGTCTTCCCATTGTCACCACCGTGACACTTGCGCTAGGTGTACTTCGCATGTCGAAGCGCAAGGCGATTGTCAAGAAGCTGCACTCGGTGGAGGGCCTTGGCTGTGTGTCTGTCATTTGCTCAGACAAGACAGGTATTTACTTTGCTGTTCTTATTGACTATTTATTGATTTTATGCTTGTTGGATTCAGGGACGCTTACCAAGAATGAGCAAACTGTACTGGAGATCTACGTCACCGATGAACTTGTTCATGTGCCGAGCGACACGCTTGCTCAAACCCCCCTTTCCCACAGAGCTGCTGTGAACAAGACGCTCGAGATAGGTGCTCTTTGTAACAACGCTACTGTCAAGGAAGATGGCACGTTCGTTGGCCAATCGACTGATGTGGCACTGCTCAACGTGATGTCCGCATTTGAGCAGGGAGATCCCCGCCTGGTCTGTGTTATACTTCATGCGCCTAGCATTTTCTGATTTAGATGTGCACAGGATTTCACTCGACGTTCGGAGCTACCCTTCAACTCAGAGCGCAAATACATGGCGATAAGCGGGGTTCATAACTCATCTGCATCCATTGTAAATGGATCTGCCAGCAAGGACATCATCCGTGAGATGTACTACGTCAAGGGATCGATTGAAGCCATCCTCGAACGGTGCAAATTCTATTACGTCTCGGACGATTCTACTCCTTCGCTCGATGTTAACACACGGAGCATCATCTTGATGAAAGCTCAGGCAACGGCATCTCGAGGCCTCCGTGTCATCGCTGTCGCATATGGCTACGGATCCGCGGAGGCCCCGTCGGCTGCCCGCGCATCTACTGCGCTTCCCTCAAATTCGCCGAAGAACAATCTAGTCTTTGTCGGATTCCAGGCAATGCTAGATCCGCCGAGAAAAGGGGTAGCTGATGCAATCAATCTCCTGCAGAACGGAGGCGTTCAAGTAGTCATGATCACGGGTGACGCAGAGGAAACCGCGCTGTCGATCGCGCGGTCTCTCGGACTCCGCGTGGGCTCGAGGAACAGCGGATGTCTTACTGGTCGAGAAATTGACCGCATGAACAAGACTCAACTCATGGAGCGTGTCGGTGGTGTGAGTGTGTTTGCGCGAACGACGCCGAAGCACAAGATGGCAATTGTAGAGGCGTTCCAGGCGCGCGGTGCGGTCGTCGCTATGACGGGTGATGGAGGTATGTACCACCTAACTTCGATGGTGAAGCATGAGTTCAATCATTTGCAGTAAATGACGCTCCTGCGCTGAAGATGGCGGATATAGGTGTATCTATGGGTAAGAGTGGTACGGACGTAGCCAAAGAGGCCGCGGACGTCATTCTCGTAGATGACAACTTCAGCACAATTATTCCTGCGGTAGAGGAAGGTTTGTCTATTTTCAGTTATCATTTTCACTCTAGTGTCTTATTCATGTTAATCGTCATCTGCGTTCCAGGCAAATCTATATTCCATAACATTCAAAATTTCCTCTCATTCCAGTTGAGCACTGCGGTCGCCGCGTTATCGCTAATCACAGTGAGCACGATGTTTGGACTAAGCAATCCTTTGAATGCCATGCAAATACTTTTCATCAACATTTTAATGGATGGTACAGACATTCTCATTTTCTATGTTTTCCCTGCTAACACCTGTGGTATAGGACCACCTAGCCAGTCGCTAGGTGTTGACCCCGTAGATCCTCAAGTCATGCGTAGACCACCACGAAAGAAAAACGAACCGATTATCACTAAGCAGCTGACCATACGAATCTTGTTTTCCGCGACCGTGATAGTCCTTGGAACGATGTATATCTACCTGTATGCCCTTTCTGACGATAACATGTCAAGACGGGAACAAACCATGGTCAGTGGAGAGAATTTCTTTTACGACTTAACAAACTCACCATTTGCTCATGGCTCAGACATTCACATGTTTCGTTTTCTTGGATCTCGTCTCTGCCGTACAAAATCGCGGCTTGGGTTGTGGTATTCTCCAAAACCGGATGCTGGTTACGACTGTATCGATATCGTTTCTGGTCCAGTTGACGCTCATCTATGTACCCTTCATGCAGAGCATCTTCCAAACTGAAGCACTCGGCATACTAGATATCTCCAGATTAGTGTTGATTGCTGCAACGTCTATAGTTTTACACGAAGCTCGACGACGCTATGAGCGTTCTCTGAGCGCTTCGATGACATACGCTGCCGCTGCGGAGGAGATGGCATAGCGTCAGTAGATACCTGAGTTATGTATTTATCCATATTACATTGAATATTCTTCCATGCGACGAGAACTAGGCAATCATCGACAAGGTAGACTGTTGAATATTCCGTATCGGTATTTGCAGTGTCCTGCTGCACACTCACTCGAGAACATACTGACGACACCTAAAGCGCTTTAAATAGTTTTAATTTCCGACAATGCCCTTGTGCTTGAGTCTTTCTAGTTCTTCGTCCGACATGCCCAATTGTTCGACTAATACCTCTCGGTTGTGTTGCCCCAAATCTGGTCCAGCCCAGCGCGTTGTGCTTTCTGAACCCTCTAGCACTGGAACAACCCTCGGCATTTTGACGCTCCATCCCCCATCCTCTTTATCAACCCACACGTCCTCCAGAACTCCTCTCGCCTTGACCTGCGGATTCTCGAAGAGTTCCTTCACGCTAGAGACACGACCCGTGGGCACGCCCACGGCCTGCAGGATCTTCTCCACCTCCTCGGCGGTCTTCGTTTGGGTCCACGTCGAAATGGCTGATTCGATCTCTTCCTGACGCGTAACACGATGCTGATTTTGCGCATATAGTGGTCCGGTGAGGTCTGGTCGTCCAATGGCATTCATCATCCGAACGTACATGGTGTCCGCATTCGCGCCAATCACGATGAATGAAGGGGCCAATGGCGCTGCTGGCGAGGGTCTGCATGGATAAGCGTTCGTTGGCACGATTCCTGTGACTGAGGAGCCTGACGGTCCGCGAACCTGGGTGGATGCATGGGAAATGTCGGCTCCAAACACTCCAAGTGGTAATCATCAGGAAGCGTTCTCACCTTGTCCTTGCGGTCGTATTCGGGGATTATTCCCTCCATTAAATTTATCATGCTGTGTAGTGTGGATATCGAATACTCCCGGTATAGAATAGTATTGAGCGCACCTCTCGAAAATGCTCACATCCACTGTCTGGCCCGCAGGCTGGCCTTTCGCTTCTTTTCGACGCTTGGACAAAAGCGCAAGGACCTACATATATGCGATGACTTAGTATACCATTCAACTCTTGAGCATCTCACTACATACTGTACCAAATGCTGCGTGCAATCCAGCAACTGAATCTCCTAGACTAATGTTCGGGCGAACAGGCGGGCCAGAGAGCATACCTGTCTCTGGATCAGGGTGGCCATTGATATACCGGAAACCTGACTCTGCTTCGCATACAGATGCATAACCCGGACGGGATGCCCATGGCCCTGTTTGTCCATATCCACTTACTCGAGTGAAAATGAGCGAAGGATTGTGCGGATGCAAGTCTGCAGGGCCAAGATTCCACTTCTCCAGAGCTGTAGCTTATCAATACCACTGTTGATATATTATGAGCGACCAATGTACCTACTCCCAGGCTTGAAGTTCTCTAGAAGAACGTCGCTTTTGATCGCCAGCTGCTTGACTAGCCTGTACGATGAGTTAACAGGTTAATGAAAGATAGCGCAACTTGAATAACTACTCGTCACCACTCACTTTCTTCCTTCCTCCTTGCGCAAATCAATTGTCACACTCTTCTTGTTGCGCCCGATACTCCTCCACCATGGACTTACTCCATCGACGTCGAGCTCTCGCCAAACTCGAAGGGGATCACCGATATGGGGCGGTTCAATTTTGATCACCTCGGCGCCGTAATGACTGTCTTACGGAGTACTGAATAAAGTATGACATGGATGACAACGAGCCACGAACCCTAGCAATTGGCCACAAAATGGACCTGCAATAACTTGACCTAGCTCGAGAACGCGCACACCGGAAAGAGGAAGGTCATCCGATGTCCCCGGCGTAACGGTCGAGAGTCCACTGACGAGGAAAGGTTAGCGCGGCTCGAATGATTACATTTACCTCATCAATCATTAATGCAAAGACTCGGAGACGGTGTGACCTACTGCTGCAGTCCTGCTAGTGGATATCGTCGAAACTTTGCAACTCTCGCTAGCGATCCAGCTCGACAGGGGTTACGGGAGGCAAAGTTCACGAACCTTCGAGTCATGGCTCGACTCAAGTTGAACTCAAATTATAAGCATCTAAGTACAAATTTGAACACATTTTGATATGACTATTCGTAATCATGCATCGTGTCGGCCGAGTTCGCTCCGACATTCCCGGTCGGAATAGGACAGATATCCAGAATGTGTATTGTATCCATTCGAATGCGTTCAGCCAGATACATATACAAGTAGATTCACCTTTGTTTCTTCGTTTGACGTTCTAAATCCACAAAAAACCCGTCGGTGCCTCCAGCTCCAACGCTGCGAGTTCTCTCAATCCCTTCCCACCATCTACACGCTCAAATACCTTTACGCCAGGCCCGTGCACACCACCCGCAACCAGCCATCGATCATCTGGTCCACCGAACCACATACCCCTCAAGTGTTTGAGCCCGGAACGCACTTCGGCAACGAGCTCTGGCTGTTGAGGATCCGCAAGCGAGAATATTGCGATGGTGTCGCCCTCAGGCGAGGGGTCATTCCTGTTGGACACGTACAGATACGGTGACGGAAACGAAAGATTGGGTCTAGGGAGTAGAATCTCTGCTGCAAGCATATATGGATCGACCGAAGGCGGCACAGTAGACATTGTCGGCACACATGCAAGGAGCGTGGGTTCTTCAGGTGCGGGGGGAAGTGTATGCACCGCGACTTCATTTATCAGTTCTAGCACAGTGTAGAGAATGCCGTCTAAGGTGCATGATCAATTACGCGGAAACAACGGAAGATCATCCATAGCATACCGTGAACTACCACATGCCTCGGGCCACTGCCTGCCTTATAAGAAACGTGTCCGTTTGGAATCCATTTTCCATCCGAGTCTCTTGTGAATCTCCGTGTAAGATCGGCCCCAAGGTCAGGAATTAACAATTCCACGCGATTTGGATGGAGGAAAATCTGGTGCAAATGGGAAGACTCCTGGCGCTCCTTGTTCGGCCCTGTTCCGCTAAAGGGGATTGAGGTACTTTGTGACACACGCAGATAGGGTGACTCGGGTGATAGAGGTATAGTTGTGAAGGTTCCAGATGAGTACTGCAGGGGACTAGTCAATTCTCTACGTAGACGCTGAAATGAATGAAGGCTCACATTTCCGACGAGTAGATCAGTTCCGACTGCTAGCAGCGTGCAAGGATCGGCGCCACTACTGGGAACAGTCCCAATGAGCGTTCCTTTACCTCCCCGATCGTACTTCACCGTGACAACTGCTCCTTCGGATTGTTCAAGCCCTGCAAATATGATAGAACTGTCTGTAGGATGGGGCGCGATCCATGAGGGATGGTGGCCCACGGCGACAGAGCTAACAAGTGACAAAGTTGAAGCATTAGAATCAAAGGAGATTGTATAAATCTCGTTAGTGTACGACCCGACAAGGATACGGTAAGCCATAACAAGGTAGAGAGGAGGAGCTTGACTGAACGAAAGACAACAAATGATCCTCCGACTCACATATGAGATCCAACGCTTCGGTAAATTTCAAGGGCGAATTAATAACCAGCTGACTGTACTCCAGGACAAAATGGTGCCGTCTTCAGTCAGAGTCCGAGGTACTGCCGCGTTAGATATGGCTACATAGTGTCGTATAAGTATTATGGAGTTCGTCATTGAGCTCGGATATCCCGTCCGACCGTTGAACGTTGAATGATTGGTACTACCGGCGAGGGTTCCAACACATCACTGCAAATAGGCCTGCGGCGGTAAAGACAGACAGCTGCCTAGTAACGCTCGCTAATTGACCGTAGCCTTGGTAAATTAATGATATTATTACGTTAGTATAAACCGATAAGAAATTAATTAATTGAGAAACAGCACTGAGCGAGCGAAGGAAACGAAGAAAGGAGTCAGTCTCTCTGGCGATGATTTGGAAGGTGCTTTCTTGATATATTGCATCTGTATCGAGTATTTTGACGCACGACTGCTAAGTTCACCAGATACAAATAGCGCAGGCCTGAGTGATAGACCGCAGCAAGATCTTGACTCGGGACCACGCGCAGCTGCGGGAAGCAGTGACTAGTGACTGGCAGCCGTGCGGATACGTACGAGACTCCATCATATTTGACCTGGAGGCTCTCCCTGCTGGCCAGTGCACTCTCGCTCTTCAGACGAGGACCTCCAGACGATGATCGTCGAAAAACGATTCTCCATACCTGACGACCCTACTCCTGCGGAAGCGCCTCCCGCTTACGACGATGCTACTAGTACGCCAAGAGCTGCACCTATCGCGCCTTACCCGGTAGACGAGAAATATTCTCCGTTCGGTCAAGCTGCGGTATCCTCGCCTTCCTCAGAGGCCGCATTCTCATCTCCAACGGGAGGGACACATGGATTCAGCGGTGGCTTTAAGCTAAATCAGTCTTCGAGCAGTTGGTTCCCATTTGGACAACGCGCACGCACCGCGAAGCAGGTGAAGGCGACAGTACAGGCTTTACTCCGTGACCTTGTAAAGCAGTCAGAAGCCCCGGACTCGTCGACCAATGCAATTCTCGAAAGCTGCGCCGATGCATGTCATTCTCACAGCGTGCCCCTTTCGACCCTCCTGCAAGAGCAGTTCATAGAGGGACGCACGCCCATCTATTGGGCCATCATTAATCGTCCTCACGACCGCAAACGCGCATTTTACGACGTTTCTTTGTCCTCGGAGCCCGACCTAGTCATGCTACTCCTCTCCCTCGCAGTCCCTCTGACAGAAGCGACAATTTCCGAAGTCCGATTGGCGTGTTTGCACGACTGCGATCAGGAATTATTCCAGCGACTGCGTCGCTCGCCAGGATTCTCTTCCATGACGGGGACGGAGGAAATGCTGCTGGGTGGACAGGTGCCTCCGGACGAGATTTCTGTGGAAAATGTCGAGGCAGACGATCACGCATTCATCGCGCAATTTCGTATACCCATGTTCCAAAAGCGCATGCGTGTTTCAAGACAGATCAATTTAGAGTTTATTGCTCGGGGTAAGCTGTATCCAGTTCTCAGTGTCGCGGCCTCTCACCATTCTGACTTTTCCTCGTCCCACAGAGCGCCTGTGGTCAGTTAAGTTCTTAGTGTCAACCGCGGATAACATACGTACGCGGCATATCGCGACGCCAGGCACGTGGGTCGTATTGTTGTCACTTCTTGAACACAGCCCGCCCACAGCAGTCGATTCACGCCTAATCATCAAGGATGCAGGTAGCCCCTGCGATACCCCGCCGTCGTCCCCTCAGGATTCCCCATCGGGTCGCAAAGAGAAGGGCAAGCCGACGATCTCGCTTCGCTTAAAGACAGGCCCAATCCCGCTCTCGCCGGAGGGCCACCACAGCTATATAGGCGCGTCATTCAAAGATAGCCTCATGGCAGACAGTCTGCAATTTCAGTAAGTCTTGGCTTTTCCACGTCATGTCTGGGTGTTGATGCATTTAGCGTTTATCAGCGGCAGCCCGTATATAGCGGCTGACGGCTCCCTGAAGGCTAGACTGGATGCAAGGCTGGGGAACTCAAAAGCTGACTGCATCATTTGCTGATACCACATTCACACCTCTTGTTTGGTGACTATCCTTCTTCTGGGGTTCATATATCGACTGATTCGAGTTTTTTTTAAAAGTTCTATCAAGTTATTTTCTTGTTTAGTTCGTGCTAGGTTTTATCTTAGTTGTACATTGAAGATCAAGTCAGATGTATTAGTATCACCACCGCCACATATGCTATTACTGCTTATTGGATACACAATTCGCTTCAACGACCTTTTCACACCACATGGACGACGTTGTCAAGATAAATCTAAAGTTTTCTCTATGTTGGGACATACGTTGTACCTCAAATGTATCGAGGATACGCTGCACGATTCCACTTTGCTGAAGGTTCAGCGTAAGACAAGATTGACTGCGCTGATGTCGTGGTCTGGTATCAAATCCGTCTTCACAAATCTTACTGTCTAGAGTAAACAATGTGGAATCAAAATGGTTTGCACCACCCCCGCCATTATTCCAACAGTAGCAAATGAAAAATATTGAACGGCCTACAGTCTCCGCCACGTACTGCGCTTTCGCTCATGTGATATAATTCCCGGCTGTGGCAGGACAAGAATGCACAACTTAGCATTCCGCCGTCGGACCAAATCAACCAGCGGATGTCTCAAGGGGACTTTTTATTTTATTTTACCGAGAAATCAAGAACCAAGGTCTATGACGAGTCTAAGGGACCATTCAACGAATTTGCGGGGGTGATGACATCAAATTGGATCGGTTTATCCCATCACATTGAAACACCTGACATATCCAGCGATTGCTACACTGTCTACATATCACAACTGAGGTGCGTTTATTTTCCACGAACCACTTATGATTCTAAGTATCGTATCTCGCTTATTGTCCGATTGAAGAGTTGAGAATTTCGGTGAGCCTGAGCTTCGTGGGTCAACGCTCCTGTAACTCCATTGCGAATAGTTCGGTAAGGTGTGTCAGCGGTCGGATTTTATATAGGTGCGCGGTTCAATGCCATTGAATTACCGCAGAGACTGAGGCTGACATAGCGGTGTGGGCTAGCTAGCATACATGATTGATTGCGGCGTCCCCGGAAACGCAATCACGTCTGTCGTGCTGCGACTGGGCCTTCGGACATCCCGTTTTTTGAACCACAGAATTGGTACCCAACTGCTTCCGCATTTCACCTCAAGCTATCTCCGATTGAAAAGCAAAAGCGCCCCGGTGATCAATTCCGTGTAGGTCCGCGGATGTGGATGCCCGTCCGACCCTCTCACATATTCGACATGGTGGCAGCAAGTTCGAGAACCTCTCGCGTTCGGTTCGCCACTGATTGTAAGCTTCAGCAACTCAATGATCTTTTATAATTCTGGATCGTCTGCCTCCCCACGCTTGATGATCAGAGACTTCGCCCACTGCGTAGCACGCCTAGCACTTGGAGCTCCTCATAGGAGAGACCCGAGATGAGCGATGAGCGAGTCCAAGTCCGTACCTCCCGTATTCTTGCTCGGTTCAAATCATGGCGTTAATCTTACCGCCGGGGAGCCCTCAGTGACATCAACCCTACCAAAACTTGATAATCACTTGCACACAGGGCTACTAAGTTAGCTGTATCTACAGTTGTACATATCGGTGCCTTTCGGTTCCTTATATCCTGGGGTTACACGTCTGATATTAACAAATGCTTGCTGTTTGTAAGTAGGACGTCACCACAAAACTATATGCAGATGCCAGGCTGATTTATATTGCATAGTTCGTGACCGCGCCGGAGTGCCCCAGATCGGCGTTCCAAATTAGCAGCCGAGTACCGTCGGTTTTAGAACGGACGCGAGAGCCCCTGCAGATCTACCGTGATCCGTCTCCAGCATCCGGACCTGGCGGTGTACGTGATCAATCGGGTTCTCCATGCCACTGGCATGTTGGCGCGAAGAATTTACGCTGTTGTCCCCGACGTTCTGGAGCCTACTGCAACCTGACCTTGTGGAGACCATAGCCGAGAGCTTGACTGTATTACACGGCACTGCTCTTCGTTGCAGACTTCCGTCACTGTTCGTAAGTCTGACTGATTTTGTTACCAGCGAAGACTGCAGGACGAGCTCAGCCGCGTCGTCAGGGTTTGTTTGACCAATCAAGGGACGTCGTCTGGGTTTTAGCGTAACCGCCTCCGTGCGCTCAGCGTTTGCGCTTGACAGTTTTTGGATAACACCGAGCCTCCATGGCGCTGGGAAGATCTGCATCGCAGGGCACGTAGCGCGGATGTATTTATGCTGCTAGCCAACAAATCGCGTTGTACGATTCGTCTCCCTCACTCAAAGCGTCCCAGCGGCGCTGGCTACGTTTCTGGGCTAGGGTGCCTAGCGTACACTATCCTTGAGTAAGAGGTCTTTACTCTTGAGCGCTCTCTCTACCCTCTGGTGTTATCTGGGTCCAATATTCCGTCAGCTCTTCCGGAGTCTAGCTTGCCATGATCATTTGGTCGGAGGTTCTTAGCGAGGGTCTTACGCCTTATGATCGCGCAGGTAAATCCTCGTGTGGCTTTCACGCTCCATGTCGTCCTTGATTAAATTTACTTATGCTGCAGGACAGCTAGCTTCCATTTTTTGTCATGTCCTGACCGGCATAAACTCGTAGGTTTAGCATACGTCGCCTTAAATCTGGAATGAGACATTTGAATTTCATCTAGGTGGGAACTCATTCAGTCACTGAGGTTTGATTGGTCTGTGCTGCGTAGACGACGAGCGTGTTTGTGGGGGTTCTTCGTCATTTATGTGTTCTGCCAATACCTGGCTATTGCTCCAATGGTCATGACCTTCCTTTTTGTGAACGCCGACGGGATGGTGCGGGATCACGTACGCTATGCTTATCTCTTTATCAACATGGCTTATTAATGTGTCTCATGTAGACTGTCCGAGTCGTCTTCGAGGTACGCTCTATTTATGTGTCCTATCCCTCCGTATTTTGACATGGATGTAGAGCCTAAGTGCCTTCTCAATTTGCAGTTCGTACTCAATCCTGATTATACGCGTGTAAGTGACATAACCTTGGTCACACTTCTACGTCTTACTTTTTCGAAGGGTCGAGTCGTCCAACAATTGTTACATTGGGCTGGCTATGGGTATACTGTTTTTAGGGTTGTGGATCTTCATATTGCAAGGTAGTTACTCAGCATGCCATACAGTGTTGTCTCAGTTGTGATATTGACTCTGCATGAACAGCCATGGTTGTTGCCCATTTTGTTGTAAGAGATGGGCTAGGCTTGTTTAGATTTACTGTTCTTTGTGCGTATCGTTGCCCGTCATTCGCTGGTACTTTACTAACGCGTCTATCAGTGACTCTTTTGTCATCCTTTGTGCTCATCGCAAGCATGCTCAGTGTATTCCTGGGACTAAAAAAGGACAATGTAAGGGGTCTTCGCGCTATCTGCAGGGAGGCAATCCGCTGGGATATGCACTTGATATTCGCAACGTGGGCGGCCTCTATAACTGCGGTGGTGTGTATCATCTTTGCGTCTCATTGGGTTGCATGGTAATTGAAACGTGAAGTTAGATGCTGGGCATTTTTCCCGAGAGCACAGGAGGTTGGTGTGCCAGTGACTGTTGTTACCTATTAGTTACTGACTAGTCGTGTTGATGTCTAGCAACTGTGACGTTCGTGCGTAATCCGCTCCGTAAAAGCTGTAAAGTCATTCACACATCCGATGCAGTTTGCGGGATATTTGGCATGTACGTGTACCAATCTGGCTTTCAAGATACTCAGTTCACTCAATATCTGCTGAGTGTTCAGACAGTGTTACGTGGGTTTTGGCGAAGATAGCTATTTTCTGAATTAACTTACGCTTTATATCTTTACAGAATCGCTTCCGCCTGTCGAGTGTATCGTCGCATGGTGCGACGCTGCGGTAGTTGTCCAGTTCGTCACTGGAGTCTTTTCAAGCTGTGCGTCTTTGTCAACGTTGTTGCTTCCAGGATGCTACTACTTACGAGGTTTGGTCAGGTTTATAAAAATAGGCGGCGGCCTGCGTATGTTCTTCAAAAAGGTTTCAGCGGCATTTGGAAGATCGCACCATCACACCACGAGTTCCGCAACTACCAGTACTATAGTTTCGCTGGGTATCATCCAGGGGTGAGTGAAGTCGTGTCTCGCGCGATGCTGGTGAAATGACAGTCATTTTACACTAACAGTCCCTCATCGGTGAGTACCATGGAGGAAGGTCCGCCGTCAGGTGCCGCCTTCTCTTCCAGGTCAGTCAGTCCGCTTAGCGAGCAGGCCGTTCGGGTTGTCCCGGTAGGACGCTGATTATCTACTGTCACTGTGCACATTCCTACTAGGTCGATTTTCTAGATCGCCTCGTCGCAACATCCATCGCAACAGCCAGCTTTTTTGACGCCACAGCATACTGAGACGATCGCATTTGTAAATTCTGGAGGACTCTGAAGTTTTGCTCGTACTTTATTATAATAATTCGACTTTGTATCGCTGTCCACGCTTTCGCTGTTTTCCTTAGTTAGGTTACTTCAATCTTCGCCTTGTTCCGTGACTGCTCCGGTGACATTACGCAGTCATTCATCAATGGCGCGTACTCGTATCTCTATGGGACTCAGTGACATTCTGAGGATAGTTATTACGCCGAGTTATTACACTAGAAGTCGCAGTTGCGAGTATTTGATGGTATCGATCAGCTTCTCTGCAAGTTCTACAGCAATGTATAGCTGAAGTCACTCTAGCTAATCTTCAACCATATCGTGTACATCGCCAACCTTGTCTAGCCTGATCATGATATGGGACACGAGGTAAAGTAGGGATGATCAGCCAGGTGGTGACCAGAGCATCGGAAGCTCGGCGTCGGGTGACCTGAGTTTCTGGTGCAGACTCCGTGGCTGGCGGGCTGGTGTTATCCCGCTCAACTGTCTGGCTGGGATCTGCTCTGTTGGCCGTCTTTGACCGTCTTGCCACATCCCTGGCTGTTGGCTTTCTATTCATAGCCCTCCCACCTATTGAATAATGACCTTGTGACCCCCTAAGGCTACTAGTCTAACCATCATTGTTAACCCACCGTCAGCCAATACGCCTTAAACTTGTTGCCCAACTCACCCTTGTTTTTCTTTGATTCTCATTGTGAATAGGGCAGCTAATTTTTATCTTCCCCGAAAGTAGTGGAGATATTCACATCAGCAGTCGGAATCAAATCCATACGTCGATTTGGAGAGCCCTTCCCGCTTGCTCGTTAGTGGAGCGCGTAGTGGTGCCAACGACAGGTGTGTGATACTTGGAAAGTTCGTTTTTCCAGCGCATAACCTTCACTGTGCGCAGAGCCCCTCCCGCTGGAGATCGTGTCTGCCGAGGTTCAATGCCGTCGATTACAGGTTGGCGATACTGGCACTATCTCTGACACAAATTCCATTGCACTCGTGACATTCACAAAACACAGAGTAGGGGTGTATCTAGAAGCCTATAGTGAGCTGTTCATACTTTTCAAAAGTGGTGATGCTTCAGAATATCCGTATGAACATCATCAATGATCAATCAGGTGTCTTACCTATTCCCTCCTGTTGCCTCTCGCAGCATACGGTCAATGAGCCAGCTGATTTGTGTTTCTCTAGGCCGTACGCTATATGTCTCGTTCGGTGCGGAATTGAAGTACTCAGCAACTTTACATACGTTCAGTTCTGTAAGGGTCTGACGGCTCCCGCCCGAACACAGCCGAACGATGGCTGTCG